TAAAATTGATTAGAAGTATCCTTGCATTTGCTCGGATTTTCCTGAAATATCATCTTGATGTTAAAAGTATTGGATGATCTATTTGACTATGGTTGGATTTAAAGTTGTGCCAAAGTCCGCATCCGATTCTTATGAAATTGATGCTATGAGTGATCTTATGAGATTGGAGCACTAATTGCCCCCCAGTCGGGAATCACGTTTTGCACAAATTACGTCAAACTATTACGTCATGGAGTATTCACGGCGGTAGAGAAATATATAGTTTAGCATCTTATCATCGTATGAAGATCCAGCACATAATCAAATAGGTGATAGGGTCTAGCATTTATGAGATACGAAAGTTTTTAAGTGGAAAACCCAAGAAAATGGGGAAAATTGTGGGCCCTAGCCCAATTTGAATGAATCCGCTAATATTGCAATTGATTATAAATGAGGCCATTCCTTGGGTGAAGACCTTAGTTTTATGTACATATTATTGAGTACATTACATGATGTGAATACAAAGAGTCATTGTTGATGTATTCATTTGGTCGGAAGAGTCGTAGTTGGTGGGCGACGTAAGTCAGGAGGACTGTAGTCAACTGGTGACAGATGTCAGAAGGATCGTAGTCGGTGAGCGACGTAAGTCAAAAGGATTGTAGTCGGCTGGCGAGGGAGGTCGGAAGGACTTTAGTCGGTGAGCGACATAAGTCAGAAGGATCGTAGTCGGCTGGTGATGGAGGTCGGAAGGACTGCAGTCAGTGAGCGACGTAAGCCAGAAGGACCATAGTCGACTGGCGATAGAGGTCGGAAGGACTGTAATCGGTGAGCGACATAAGTCAGAAGGATCGTAGTCGGCTGACAATGGAGGTCGGAAGGACGACTTTAGTCGGTGAGTTATGTAAGTCAGAAGGACCGTTGTTGGCTAGCGACAGAGGTTGGAAGGACTATAGTCGGTGAGTGACATAAGTCAGAAGGGTCGTAGTCGGCTGGCGACGGAGGTCGGAAAACTTTAGTCGGTGAGTGACGTAAGAAGGACCGTAGTCAGCTGGCGATGGAGGTCGGAAAGATTGTAGTCGGTGAGCAACATAAGTCAGAAGGACCGTAGTCGGCTGACGACGAAGGTCAGAAGAACTGTAGTAGGGTAGAAATCTAGTAATGTATACAAATACAACATCAGATAAATGTCCTGCAAAAATTTAACGACGGACAGAAGTCCGGCGTCGGGTAGAAATCTGATAACCAGTGGAGGTCTGACGTCGGGTAGAAGTCCAACGTTAGTTGGAGCCCGAGGAGAACTTCAGCGTTAGATGGTATTTAGGAAGAACTCCGGAGTCACTTGGAGTTCGGGTGAAACTACGGTGTAACTTGGAAGTCAGGAGGAATTCCAGCGTCACTTGGAGGTCGGGCGGAATTCTGGCATCACTTGGGCGGAGTTTCCGGCATCTTCTCCTCTTCTTCCTTCATTCTTACTTGGTCTATTTATAGATTTTTTGAGTGGCATGGCCCATAAATAGATGAGAGATCAGAGGCGAATATGGAGTGGTTCAGATGAATGGCCGATATTGAATCCTTTGATCGTAGACAGTTTATCAAGCATTTGAACGTCTTAATGACTTCAGAATTTGGCGATCTTGGGCTCGTTGGATTCTTCTAGTCGAGCTGCTCGATTCGATTATAAGTCGGTCATGTTTGGAAACCGTTTGGTAACCCAAATTGTGGTTTGAACCTTCCAACAGCACTTCGGGTTCTTGATTTGGACTCATTTTGGCTCGGATTGAGTCGAATTTGGTGTAATTGGGTTTGTATTTATGAGACGCTCAATTTGACTGTAAGTTTACGGAAATCGGAGTTCAGGTAACCCCAGATTTAATTTTTGAAATTTATGGCTTGATTTTTACCTCAAGATTCGTGCCCGATCAAGATAATTTATTGATAACATATCAAAACTAAATGTATAATCAAATATCCAAAAAATTAGGTTCAAGAAAAGTCAGCCCAGTTCAAGCTAACTTGGAGTTGTTCAAGCGAAGTCGACCCAATTTGCTATATCTCAACTATATAGAAAATTACCTCAAGCAGGTAACTATGACTTATGAACTTGCTCTAAACAAATATGTACAACCTATCAATTAGGCCCTAACAACTACTCAAGTGGGCAAGATATTTCATATGAAAAATTGTTGATTGGTTATTCGACTATTTATTGAATATATATATATATATATATAAAGTCAATTATAAATGACAGATGAGTCGGTTGTATATATATATATATATATATATGTGTGTGTGTGTGTGTTTGTGAGAGAGAGAGAGAGAGGGAAAGAGAGAGAGATTGTAATAAATATGTGAAAAGTCAATTATAAATGACAGATGAGTCGGTTGTGTATATATATATATATATATATATGTGTGTGTGTGTGTGTAAGAGTAAGAGAGAGAGAGAGAGAGAGATTGTATTACAATGGTTATTATTTTGATGTTGTGACAATAAAATTACAATTTTATTATTTTCATAGAAAAAGATTATCTATACAACAATATTATAGATTATCTCAGAACATATGATACTCTCCCATTGAGGCTATGAATATTATTCTAATTTCATGATTGATGTTTTACTATACTATTATTTCATGGTATATCATGCCTCTTTTATTGTTCATGTTGTATGCCCCAATAGCTTGCCATTTATGTTTTAATAAATAGGAGTTTCTCATTGAGTTTAAAATATCACTCGTTTCTTGGAAAACTTTTACAATAATAAGTTCTACCAAATTACTTGATGGATCATCTCTACAAAAGCCATACTTGATGGATCTTCACTACAAAAACAAAATTTTCAGTAATATTATTTCACTTGATATTTTTGAGTTTATATTGTAGTTTGCATTTATATTTATATTGGATTTGAGTAATCTTTGCTTATATTGTGTTCTCTCATTTACTTATCAGTTGTTGTGTCTCTCATTATAGTTGTTAATTCTATACTGTACTCTTATTATGATTCTATCGATGCAATAATTTTTATTTATTTTTTGCTTACTCTTACATGTTCTACTCGTAATTTCTCATAAATGAAAATCCATTTAAGTACAACACGAGTATAATCGATCTTGAATTTTGAAGTTTATTTCAAGAGTAAAGGTCAACCTTTTCATCATGTCCTAAGCTGTTGAGGTGTTACCTTTCGAACCTAGGGTTTGATATGACCCTCCTCATTAGCCTTAGAGTTTGGGACTTGTGTCGATCATAGAGTTTAAGATCGTTCATAAGGTTTAAGAAATATGTCAGCCATAAGGTCTATGACTCATTCCCCTATATGAGATAACTCATGATTGCTAATAAAGATCATTAAATTGCCTCATAACTAGGTGAACTAGGGCTTTGACAACCCAAAGCAATGGAATCATGGGATATTGATCAAGTTCACCCTCCACTCCTTAGATTAGGGTCACAACAACATTATTTAGCTTGTAAGGTTCTCATGAAAGAAGTAGGTTGCTAACAAAGATCCTCAATCAGAGCTATAACAGCCAAAATATCAAGGATTCATGGGTGGATCTTAATCAGAGTTTTCTTCCCTCACTCTATTCACTCTTATATAACAGCAGGTGCAACCAAAGGTGTAAGTCCAATTTAGGCATCTCCATTCGGTGATTGTGTAGCTATAAGTCTCTCTTTCACATCTATTTCAATGCCTTTGAGCCTATTCTCTTTGATTCCTAAAAAACATCTCACACCTTCATCCTCAGATTATATTTGACCTGATTTCCATAGAGCCTTCATAGGGTACACTTAAATTTTGACCTAATCTAGGGCATGAAAGATTGAAGTTTTCTCTTAGCCTCTTAGTTCTTTCTCTTGTTTTTTCTAGGGTTTGTAGTGGGAGACCTTGTCCTTCTCGAAGTGGACAAATTGTATCTTGTTTCTCTTGGATTTTGAATGCAAACTTTCTTGTTCTTCCTCTCATCTCTCTTGTGTTGATTTTTGCCTTGGATTTGGAAGAGAAATTTCTTCTTTGGAAGAGCATTAGGGCAAATCCTAACTTGGGAACCCTAAGGCGTATCACCTACCTAGTCTGAACTCAAGTATTGCCTTCTTAATCAAGAGTATTCTTAAATATATCCATGATGTCATTAACCTTAGGAGCTTACTCCTTTAGGAAATCTTTACCCTCATAATTAAAATAAATCCTATTGGGAGCCGCATTCCCTTCAAGGAAAATCTTTGTGGCACAAGCATTCAGTCTATCTTCCATTAATCTCTATGAATATGTAGAGTGCATTCATTAGCAATAATCAATCCTCTATTATAGTGCCACGAGCATCTTTTAAAGCACACAAAGGTTTATGAAAATTATTTTTCAAAAAATTGATGACTAAAATACTCAAATGCATCATTAATAATTTTACTATCAATATTCCATTTCACATCATTTAAAGTGATACTTGTACAATATTATATATGTTTGCATGCAAATGGCTTAAAACATAAAAAATTACAATTATGTAGTGTACGCTAATTTTGTTTTATTGGGTTTTAATTTCTATGTTGTTAATGAGTTTGAATTTCCCTAACCGCTCTCTAATCTCTATTTCTCTCTATCCCTGAAACCTCTAATTCCAAAACCCCTCTAACATATATAAAATGTATTACATGCATGAAGAAAGAGAAAGTTCACATGCATGTAAATTTCTTAGGCTCGGATTTGATCCAATTTAGAGCTCCATCATCCGCTTAAATATCTGCCAAGTTTTTTACAAAAAAACAACCCCAACCCTACTCCCTTCATCATCCCCACATATTCTCATGAAGAAGGCTTCCTAAATCTAAGTCTCCACTAAATTTTGGTATAAAAGCAACTATCGCAAGCATCAGTGTGCTAAAAAGTATTTAAAGCAATGAACATGTTTACAAAGAGAGAGACAAGGACTTGGAATAAGATTGTGGAAACCTAAAACCAAGAAAGAAGTGCTTCTTCACAGATGCAATATAGCATTAATCAAGTATGGCACCTGTCCTACTTGATTGATTTGATTGTTTTCGAGAATCATTGCAACGTTCCTAACTAGATCAGAAGATAAGTGCACTAGCCGCTGCAAGCACTTCTCCTTTACAGTTTTGATAATCCATGGCGGCTGAAAAGTTCAACAGCAAAAAAACAAATGTAAATAATAAAATAAATTGGTAAAAACAATGTTTTATGTTAATATGAGATTTAAATAAAATGCAACTCCTCTAAAGCGCTTACCGTCACAAGGCAATCAGCATGGCCAATATATTTTTGAATGGAAGGACTCTCACAAACAATATGACTTGCTCGGGAACCTATAAACCAATGATCCAGGAATTTTGCACCTTCCCTACTAGCTGCATCAACAACCTATAAAGGAAAAATATGATATAGATATATAATTTATTAATATAAAACAAATATTTGCAATATTTTATTTAGAAGGGCACATTCAATTGATGCCATTTTACCTTTTTCCTCAATTCAACTGATACATCTGGATCAATGAAAATAAAATCATTGGAAAAGAGTGGTCCACTGCTACATTCTTTCCACAGTGGCTGTTGAAGAAGTTGCCCTGTGCTGCTGATCCCATTGGAAGACTTATCAACCCCAACATGTGTTAGCGGAAGACAAGACTTTTCAGTTCCAGGGAGGCCAAAAAATCCATCTGAGTCTACTGGTGGAAAGCCATTTTCTCCAAAATTTTTAACGATATATTGAGATTCATTCAACCTCACTATAAAAGTTAAAGAAATGTGCAGAGCCACTAAGAAAAGGGGTATGAAAAATATCCACGATATACTAATTTTCGAAGGCGAATCAGGCAAAAGCCCAACCTAGTAAGTTATAGTAATAATGTTATATAGAGTTATTTAGATAAACTAAAAATTAGATTGCTACCAACATCAGCTGAAATGTATTTTTTAAATCAGCTGATGTGATTATTTCAAATGACTAAAATTTATAAAATAAAAGACTGAATATTTGATATTATTTTCGAAGTAAAATAGGAGCTTGTATAGTGCAAAGAAAGTCAAATTCACTTGGATAAAATCAAGGCTGACCGTTCTTCCTGACACTGTCAACAAACCAACCCAAAGTAACAACAAAGAGGCCACTTCTTTGACCATGCTTCAAAGCATGCTCAAACTTTCTCCCAGCAAAGCTGTATGGATGTTAAGGTGACAAAAGATGGAATTTTATATTATTACACATTAATTTTGCTTCATGAAATTATACATGATCACTAACCAGGTACGAGTAGATTGTCCCAAAAACACCAAAAGCCATCATAAAATTGAACAAAAATCTGACAGGATATGTGCGCAAGAATGAGAGACTACTTAAGCTGAGCAAATAAAGTTTAAAGGTATCAACAACAACAATGGCACCGTCTAACAGGATATCTGGACCACAAGATGCGTGCATCTGGGATGCAAACTAGAGCTGTACTGACCTCCAAGCCTTTCTACTGCAGCCATGACCTGTCGTCTTGCTTCTGTTTCATAATAAGATTATGAGGATGATAAAACTGTTGAAGTTAATTAAAAAGTTAAAACGAACAGCAGGATAATCCATTTAAAGTTCTAACTAGAAGAAAAAAAATCTAATTATCCAATAAATGCATTAATAGCTAGCTAATAACTAATAAGATTATGAGGATGATAAAACTGTTGAGGATGAGCAATAAATGCATTAATAGCCATGACCTGTCGTCTTGCTTCTGTTTCATAATAAGATTATGAGGATGATAAAACTGTTGAAGTTAATTAAAAAGTTAAAACGAACAGCAGGATAATCCATTTAAAGTTCTAACTAGAAGAAAAAAAAAATCTAATTATCAAATAAATGCATTAATAGCTAGCTAATAACTAATAAGCCATAATACAAAGCTTGACCTGATCAATATTTTTTCAACTAACTAGGTTCCATTATTCCATGCATATCATATGTTTGTTTAAGAAAAAAAAAAGTTAAGCAAAACTTAGTCTACCCATCAAAAATCAGTGGAAAGTTAAACACCAAATTAAGACATACTTCAGTGCGTTGGATAGAAGCCATTTCTTTCAAAAACCAGAAGTTCCAGCATCTTTTGAAAATCAAACAACAATGTCAGGGGTTTGAATCACTCCTCATAACCACTGGACTTGCACTGAGATATAGCCAACAGGTCAACTAAAATATGCAAAACTGCTATTATAGCCTATAGGAAGTATCTCATAACCAGATATTTTTATATTTCTTTTTTTTTTCTTGTTGAAATTTTTCAAGAGACCAAAAAGCATCTATTAAGCGTCTCTTCCAACAACTTAGATTCAATAATCAAGAAAACTGCTAGAAATATACTGCATAAATAAAATTTAAAATTTAGACAAGAAATTACCTTTAGAGAGACCAGTCACGCATATGACAAGACCGCTAAAGGGTCCAATTTTTGCAGGACCAACGGACCCGGAAATGGTTGAAGAAGATGAAGACAGAAACTCTGAGGATTTCATACTTGTAATGCTTGTAACAGAATTGACAGTGCTCAAAAAGAGCCTTGAGCATCCCTTGCTGCCAATCACTTCAACTATCCCTCCATCCATAAAAGAAAAATCTCCAGTACAACATGGGCCAACAATATCAACTAAGAAAAGAAACCATACACCATCAGAAAAAAAATTATTAAGATTCCCATTTGCAATATGTCTTTGCTGGAAAATTAAAAAAGTCCAATTCACCAATAAAATTGAAAGCCCGCATCACCAGACCTAGCAAAATAGCTATTTATGTCAGACATATTATTCAATTGGGTCACTCCAGATCAAACATGGGAGGAGGCAGGGAAACTCCAAGTTCATTATAAAAATGAAATAGGTTTTGCAAACTGGAAAAATCAAATATCAGCACGGAATGGAAAAACTATATATATATATATATATATATATACAGAAAATCCCTTTAAAATTGCAAGTGGTGGAATAATTATCCCAAAATTATTTCAAGATTATAAGAGATGCAAGCACCTTTAAAAACGTGTTACCGAAGTGTTTTATTTTTCGAACTTAATCATGTATTCACTTTAATCAAGTTAAATTTTCAAGGGAAAACCTCCGCAAATTCTCATGATCATCCGCAGCAACAAAACCTAACACACCGAGTACCCAAAACCCTAGCCCGAAGGAAATGTAACCTGTAAAACAGAAATAAAAAAAATCTAACTATTCTAAAGCACGATCAATTGCCCTATAAATCACACAAAAATGTGAGCTAGTATTTCAAATCTCAATTTCCCGCCAACAAAAGTAAAAGACCAAAATCAGGAACGACAAATGAACTTATACAGATCAGTTCCAGTCTTCCAGACGATAATATTCAGAAATAAAACCATAAGCAATACTCAGGAAGTCATAAGACAGACTCACCTTATATAAGCAGAGATTTTCCGAAGTAAACGATTTGACTGGCCGCTCAAACAGCAACAAAAATCTCAAAAACTCTCCATTTACTATCCGGATGCGAAACTGGAAGAATACGACCAGGACTACAGAGTATCGCACAAAAATAAGCTAAACAAGATGACGTGGAGGGCCGACTACTCAAGTCTGATGATAATTTTCACCGTCGTATCGAGATCGAGATCCGAGAAATCAATCGAGAGTTCTTATCCAGCCTCTAACGAGAGGATTGGATAAGAACAACTTGTTCGGGAAAAAGTGCGCGCTCTCTTCTTCGATGCAGACCTTCCCGCTGTTGCTGCGGAGGCGGCCGAGGCAGGACCGCACAAGCCTCAGGCTTCGAACTGAACGGCTTTGTTGAAAACAAAAGTTTGTGTATTTTATTCGATGGAGAAATGCCTTATAATTTTAAACGTTACAATGCTACGTCAGATATTTTAAAAATAATTATTATATAGTTTATTGAAATGCGTTATTACTTCTATTAATTACAGGTTGCAGAACAGTTCTGCTGAAGAAGTGGCTTTTTTTCTCTGAAAATATTCATTAAGAAAATTAGAATTAAAATCTATCAATGAAGGCATCGGTTGGGAAAGTTTTCTTGCTGTTTTTTACAGCATTAGCTTTTCAGCAAAAAAAATTATAAAATTGTGAAAAATTAGTGGTCAAAACCTGTCTCAAAAGAAACCTACACTAGCCCACTCTTGGTGCAAATTGTTGTGATGTATGAGAGGGTGAATGCTCATTCTAGGTGTGTAAAAGAGTCGAGTCGAATTGATTATCTGTGTAATTGAGCTAATCTAAGAAAAAAAATGTGATTCGTTTTGCGTTTGGTTTGGCTTTTATGTTAATTTTTGGACTATGATGAGGCAATTTTGCTTAACCCCGGGTTGGCCTTGAGATGACAACCTTGATGGTTGGTGTGGGTGCTCATAACTTCGGCTGGTTGCTGTGTGGCTTACAATTGTCAATAGATGGTCATTTCTTCTCTACTCGGTGGGTGCAGGATTGTCATATTGAGTCCTTTTGGGTGGTAGCCTTTGTTTTGCGTCGTGATTTTGTCGTCTCAGCTGTTGCTTGGAGCCTTGGGTCTTTAGGTGGCTCGTGTGGCTCTGGGATTTGGGTTTTTCTTGGTGCGCTGGTAGTTTGGTTTTGTTGCTTTATTTGCTTTTGTTTATCTTGAAATAGGTAGAATGTCGGCTCGTAGGTTCTCTTCAAAATCTATTCTTTTAGAGAGCTGGTAGTTCGTTAAGGCTTGTAATTTTCTTATGTTAACATGTAGCCCCTCTGCGGGTTTTGTTTAAAAAAAAATTGACACATGCAATTGACACTAACAATACTACCCATATTCACAATAAGACTAAGGTTTGATTTGGGACTTCTTTCTTATTACTTCTTAAAGTAACTTTTTAGTATAAAACTTTAAGGCTTCATTTGGGACAACTTTCTGATATAAAATTTTCTTATTCAAAAAAAAATTTAACGAAAAAAACTGTTTTAGAAAACATTAAAAAAATCCCATAAGAAGCTAAGCATACACCATCGACATCTATTAAGACTTCTCATATGATCAATTATTTATATATAAAATAAAAATTCAAATAATAATAGTAATAATTCATGCATAGAAGTGTATTTAATCACGATATAACAAGCCAATAAAAGTCCCTGCTGGTCCTTTGACAGCATGATCAATCACATCGAAGCCAATCATATATTTAAAATCCTAATTATTCTTCAAGCCCTTAACCAAAACGAGGGTAGATTAATGAAAACCCTCAAGCTAGAGTTTTGTTTGAGCCAAATTCTCCCACTGAGAACTTGATAGAAATTATTGCAATCACTTTCAATGAGAAAAAGTTGGAAGCTTCTGCTCGATTGTCTACTTCAAGATTTATGACAGAGAACTACATGCAACTGTACAGATTAGTTGGCTACCTCAGAATTGACAATTGTGCAGGCTGATGGGAGTTTAAAACATCTGATTGGCTGCTTCAAGCTTTATATTTTGTGGTAATTTGTTGATCAAAATGTGAGCTTCACCTAACTAAAGGCATGGATCATAGAGCATACATCATATGCGAAGTAAAATCACACAACAAAACAAATAATTTAGGTTTCGTTTTTGATGATTTTTTTATTGCTCTTTTAAAAAAGAATTTTAAAAATTAAAAATTTTGTACTAAAATTTCATCTCAAGAAGCAATAAAAAAAATCATCACAAACAAAATTTTAGTTAGGAAAATACATAATGAAGTTATCTAATACGTATTTATGCCCAATCAATGGCTCCCTTTTTATACTGGCCACGATCACTAGCGCATGAGGCATGATGGGCTATAAAAATAACCAAAAAAAAAAACATCAACAGTCAAAATCATTCTTGTAGCGAGTAAATTTGGCTGCTAGTTGTCTATTCAACTAGAAGTATGGGCAAAATTCTAGAAGAAGGTGAGTGCCTTTGATTTCTCTGGCAAGAATTCTCGATAAGTTATAGCAGGAAACTCTACTCGGTGGCTCAGTACTCAAAACGAGTAGATGAGATCTTTCAGGGTTTTGTTAACTATGCGACTTCTTAAGGCTTCATTTGGGGCGGTTTTTTTATTGTTTTTTTAAAACGGTGTTTTAGTACAAAAATAAAAAAAAATTGTATTAAAACTCTGTTTAAGAAAGCAATAAAAAAGCCTTCCCAAATGAACCCTAAATCTTTGAGGCGAGCTGTTCATCTAAAATTTGAATTACAAACTGATTTTGTCGACCTAGGTGAGTTGTTGAGCCTCAGTCATGGGTAACAAGAAATTCAAGACTTTAGCTGACTTCTAATCTTGAAGCTGATTTAGGATTCATTTGAGGCGATTTTTTTGTTGCTTCTTAAAGCAATTTTTTAGCACAAAAAATTTATTTTTTATATTAAAAATTTACTTTAAGAAACAACAAAAAAAATGTCCCAAACCAAATCTTAGATTAAAACTTCAGTTGGAATAGCTTTCTAACTACTTCTTAAAACAATTTTTTAGTATAAATCTCTCGTAAAAAAAATTTTTGTGCTAAAAAATTGCTTTGAAAAGCAGTAAGAAAGTTGTCCCAAAAGAAAACCTAAGTGAATAGTAAAACTCAATTTAAACTTGTTAGCTGATTTGATCACCGAAATCCATATGAATTTGGGTGCACAAAATTACATGCAAATAAACACATTATATATATATACATAATACAAATAATTTGACAAAAAATAAAGACAAATTAAAGTAACTTGCATGGTGACTCAAAATATTTCAACATTAAATAAGACGCTTTAAAGATTATATGCATATATTTGGTTAAGTCCTCTTAATAACATGTAAGGTAGCTTTTTAATTGATTTTTTATTATTTATAGGGAGTATGGCTTTCACCATACGGAGTTGTGCGCATAATGATTTACTAATTTTCAATAATTATAATTAAAGTCGTTCAATTTTTTATTTTTATTTTTTAAGCAAAAGCTATCAGCAATCCTGAGAATTGACTCCAGTTAATGGGGCAATTAAAAATTACACACTTCCTCGCAGCCACATATTAAACATAACCATCACCACCTTTCACTTAATTTTGCATGATCACAGACTCTATTTGGGAGCATTCATGGCAGAGTGAGAAACTCATACCAAATAAATAAACAGTGCATTTTCATATCATCTAGTCAAGTTTACAATCCTACCTGATCGCCATGAATTTAAGTTTATTGTAATATGGCTCAGAAGTTCATGCCAGATAACTCTAAAGAAGCTGAAGCTCTGATCTATGCCTTCAGAAAAAATAATCTCTTCATATCACAAGAACAAACAAAACCAAGCCCAAGCCAAGACTAACATCTAGTTCAGTTAGGTTGAATAATATACTCAAGAAGAGGCCCTGCCTTGGGAGCAAGAGTAAGCAGCAGGTCAGCTTTTGCTGCTAACTCAAAGTCTTCAAACTGAAAGGCTGGAGCACAGGTGCAGCCCACAAGAGAGTAGTGGAGTTCAGGGTCCCTAGTAGGAGCTTTTGCGAGGACACTTCCATCGGTCGAGTAGGATGAGATATCCAGGGCGGGGAATGATCCAAACCATGTGTTGGGCGGCACGGTGTACTGTGGACGATGACCGGCTTCGAGGTCAGAGCCAAGGATGGTGAACTCAAAATGTCCATCATCATGAAGCTCCAATATCTGGTTAATAATGAAGCATCATAAGAAAGTTATTGATAAAAATTCAATCAAAGCTTCAATATCTGGCTATTAATCTTGGAAATCCAGGAGTTCAAATAATTTCAGGTGGAATTTTTTTGTATCTTTATGCTTTACAACATATTACAGAATTATAGACCATTTTATCATAGGACTTACAATTAACAAGATCTTGTTACAGTAGTATTTTCTTAATTTCAGAATTTCCAAAGCTCCTCCAAAGGAGGATTCAGAATGAGATTCAGTACGAATTGGGCAATGCAACTATGCAAGGAAGGAATGCTAAATTTTCAGAGACCCCACCAAGAGTTTGTTCACTGGAGTTTTTTAAGTTTTCTTATCTGATTTGTAAAAAAATTTAAAAACTTTAAGGTGGTCATGGAATTACCAGCTTAGTATCTTTTTTTAAACAAGAGGAAGGCAAACGATATAAATTCGCAGCAAGAAAGAAAATTGCTAACCGTCAGTGGTTCACCCATGTAAAAATGCCAAGTTTCAGCACAAGGTATGCGATGGAGGCTGGAGACACTTCCTGATGGAAGCAAGAAGTAGATTGATGTGCTTACAGGGCGATCAACTTTGACTGCAAAATAAATAAATAAAACTAAATAGAGAAAGAGAGAATTCAAGCACAAATAGCCATAATTTCGCAGGAGAGAAAAGAGAACTTCCAACTTTTCTAGGCCACACTAATCAAAAACACTTGACATGTTACTGAAGTTACTGATGTTCCAAAACTTTTAAGTATCAAGGCCATCATAAGAAAATTGTTAGCATGCAATCAGTTGTCGCAACATGGCGATAAGGTAGTTACTGTGCTTACCTTATCACTTTTTAGGATTTTGTGACAAATTGCGACCAGTCCAACGGAGCAGCAAAATCCTACAATAACCCAAACCGGCAGTCCTTCCTCTCATTTTTTCCCCAAAACAAACACTAGAATTAAGAACAGCAAGAGACTACAGCTTCGTTTGGGACTGCTTTTTCCTTCTTCTTAAAGCAGATATCTAGTACAAAGATTTTAATTTTTGTACTAAAAAACTGTTTTGCAATAAGAAAGTCGTCCCAAACGAAGCCTACGACTTTCTTCTAACAATAATTGATATTGCAGAGAAAATCTCCAGCCAATTGATCATTTGAACGCCAGATTGAAATCATCCTAGATTTCTTAAGCTGATGAGCATCAAGGTGACATACATGCTTAATCTCATTCGTTCACAAATTACATTCCTCAAGTTCCCCATTTGATCTCCTATAGCTAGGCAATTTTATACCCTAACGTTTCTTGTTTGAACATGGAGATTAGAAAATGCATCATAAGACAAATAATTAGAACAAATGTACAAGAAAAATGAAGGAAAAGGTACTCCAAGGTTAACAACTAGTTACTCCCAACCATATTTTATTAAATGAATTTAATGATATTTGTATAGATCAGGTAAGATTTGATTGATGTTGGCATAAATACATTTGGGTGTTAAAAATAATATAACAAGATATGAATGTTTGTGGTGAAAGAATGCTTATGACAGTTTTAGTTTTATGGCATAATAAAACAAGATGAACCAAAGAAAATTACTATGCTAGAGATATACAAAGTAAGTTCTTCATCAAAATATCGGGACAACATTGGTCCTAAAATACAGTGATGAAATATAGCTTTCTTTCATTGATTCATGCCAATGCCTCCCTGTACTACATTTAATTTCCTTTCTCTATCACCTCATCTAAAGCCTCCTGTATCCCTATATATATCCACCTCATTGCATGAAATGGATACAAGAAAAGCAATATAACTCCGAATCAGTGTAAATCTGACACTTTTTACTAATAATATCCAATTAATATCCATATATTCAACCATTCCGTACTTTTTGCATTGCTAATCGCATCACAACAGTTTGATTTGCAAGAATTTCTGAATACCTAAGGTTAAGTGAGTAGTAGTAATTGCTCAGCCTTCTTAAGCAGAGAAATGGCCTCGTTATTCTATGGGGAAAAAATAACATTGACGTTGAACCTGTTCCTGTTCGTGCCCTCAACCCACCTCATCAAGTTGTCTCACGATTTCATCAAACTTTGTTATGTACTAGAAAGTTTGTGACATATAGATTTCAATATTTTAGCTTTGTACAAAGATCGATTATGCATAAATATAAAACCAATTTTTTTTATGTAGAAAACAAACTAAAAGGAAAAACCATAAGGCTTGACCCTATTGCAATAATTTACTATATAATTGTATGTGCAAGGATCCATTATTCTCCACAATTGAAGGAAAATAAACGATAGTGTCAACGATTGATGATAGTGATAATCGGAAAATATCATAAAGTTCTTAAGTTATTTCATCTCCTGAACTCCCTACGTATAAAAAATGATGCTCTATTTATAGCTTTTTGAGATAGGCATTATGATAAATTTGACAATAACTCAAAACACTCCGTTGAATGATCCATATTGGTTCGCTTGATCAAAGATCGTTTATCTAATATTTGAGTGTCTTAATGATATCAAAATTAAATAGCCTTGACTAATTGAAGTTATCTCATTGAGTCGCTCGATTTGACTATAAGCCCTCAAGATTTTGACATCATTTCATCCTTCAATTATAGACTCGAAGTTTTAATTATATTTCAAGTGCTTGGTCTGAGTTCATTTGAAGTTAGATCAAATCATTTGTGGAGTTGATAGGTTTGTCTTGTAAAGACATTTAGTTTGACTAAAATATTAGTTTAGGTGATCCTGAATTTAATTCTAAAAGCTTTTAATTTGAATATTTCCTTGTAATTTGTGTGGATCAAGTGCATTTTCTGGAGATGTATTAGTTGGCCCCAATTTTTAGACATTGAAGCTTATGTCATCCCAAAATATATGTTAGATCTTCTAAAAACTTTGTAGCATAAAATTACATTTTGAAAAAATTATTAGGCGCACCTGTTATCTAGATGTCAACGTGGATCTCCTTAATTATATTTTAACATTTCATAAAGTCAATGTGTCAATTAAAACAAAAATTATTGAAACAACTTTTCCAGAATTTTCAAATATGCTCGAAATTGATCATAGTCTCCGACTCTCCGTTGGATTTTGAAAATGAAAATTTTGAGTAGAGAATATCAAAAAACAATGATGGGGACTGCAAAACACTAGAATAAACATGCTTGGGCTTAAAATTGGGCCAAAAAATGGAATCGAGCCCAGTCAGTCGACCAATCACTGTCGCCGCATGCACCATTTGGCATTGGAGACACGTAATGTGCCTCCTTACAAAGGTGCATATGTGCTATATTATCTTTTTATTTTTTATTTTTTTAAAAAAATTGTTTTCATCATTTTTTAAAGTTTTATTTTTATTTTTATAGTATTTTTAAAGAAAATTATAAAATTGTGTAACTTCACTTCATCCATCTTTTAGTATCAATATCACCTCAAAACAACAACATCAAGCCTTTATCCCGCTATGTGGGGTCGGCTACATGAATCTTTTTTCTCTATTGTGTGCTATTAAGAGTCAAATTATTATTTAAATCTAATAAAGAAATGTCATTTCTAATATTTCTAACCAATTCTTTTAGGTCTAACTTTACCTTTCTTAAGATAGTTCAAATCTAATACATTTACTCTCCTAACCGGGTCATCGGAAGGCCGTTGTTTTATGTGATCAAACCATCTAAGGCAACTCTCTCTAATCTTATATGCCACTGGAGCTACCCCAACCTTTTCACGTATATGCTCGTTTCGTATCATGTCTCTAAGAGTAAAGCCATTCATCAACTTGAGCATCCTCATCTCTATAACACTTAATATTATGCTTCTCTTTTGATGGCCAAAATTTTGCGCCATAAAGCATTGCAGGTCTCACAATCATCTTATAAAATTTACCTTAAGTTTGAGTAGTATTTTTCTATCACACAACAAGCCTGATGCATTCCTCCACTTTAACCAACCAACTTGAATTCTACTAATAATATTCTCATCTATTTCACCATCACTCTGAACAATAAATCCAAGATATCTGAAATGCGTACTCTTATTAATGACTTGATCACTTAAAGTCACAAACCCCCTACTAGATATATTACTATTAAAATTACACTCCATGTATTCGGTTTTAGATCTACTCAAATGAAAACCTTTAGACTCTAAGGTTGACCTCCATAATTCAGTTATTCCTTCAACTCCCTCTCTAGTCTTATCAACAAGAAGAATATCATCAACAAAAAGCATATGTCCGGATACATCCTCTTGCAATTGTCTAGTAAGAACATCCATGAATAAAGCAAAAAAGATATGGGCTTAAGGCTGATCCTTGATGTAAACCAACTGCAATAAGAAAATACTTGGTAAAACCACCTTGTGTTTAAACACAAGTAATAGCTCATGTATACATATCCTTAATAACTTGAATATAAGCATTATTAACCTCTTTCTTTTCTAGAACTCTCCATAGCACTTCTTTTGAAATTTTATCATATGTTTTCTCTAAATCAATAGAAATCATATGTAGATCCTCCTATTATCTCTATACTTCTCCATCAAACCGCTCAATAAATGTATAGCTTCCATAATAGACCTAGCTGGCATGAATCCACATTAATTTTGAGAAACATTAGTATTACGACGTAGACTATGCTATGCTCCATAACTTTTCCATAGTTTTAAAGTATAACACATCCACTTAATTCCTCTATAATTCACACAATATTGTGCATCACCTTTATTCTTAAAAACATGAATCAACACACCTACACCAATATCACCTCACAGCGGAGGAAAATTTGCTCGTACCCTCTTTGTGAGCTCTAATTATCTTTCTAAATTAGACATTTCACTATCTTGTATAAGCGATGCATAATTCCTCTTTTATAGAATCCAATAAAATACTGCCTTGAATAGGTGGTGCATATCTCACTTACATGCTCCAGTGCTCTTACACCAAGAAGAATGAATTATTCTTCAGAGCTATGGGAAGAATTCACATATTTTAATTTTTTATTCGTAAATTTTGATTCCATCTCCTATAAAAGGCTTATCATTGTCTTGTATGGGCAAAGTGTTATCCCTTTACAAGCCCCACTATTTTCCCTATTAGGAGTACTAAATCACCTTACAGATAGAGTTATGAGTGACATATAAGATTTTCAATCTCTATTGCGGACAAATAAGATTTACAGGTAGAGTTATTACTTTTATATGCAGCTTTAAAATATATATTTCTTCATTTCTAAATTTAATTATGCTCATAACGAATTTGTTTGAGTAATGAACTCTCCATCTTCATTAAATAGTAATTCATATTTGTGAGAATTTTCCCCTTGTATGAAACCAAGTCTTCTATATATCTTTGACGCATTTAAAATGTGTATATATTGTAGGAAATTGTATGTTGTTATTTTCTAAATCTAATAGCTTAATATGCAGCTTTGAAATATGTATTTCTTCATGTAAATTTGATTATACTCAGTAACCAATTTGTTAAGAATAATGAACTCTCTATCTTCATTCAAGAGTAATTCATATTTATGAAAACTCGCCCCTGTATAAAACTAAGTCTTATATATCTTTGAGATGTTTAAAATGTACATATGTTGTTTGTTATTTTGTAAATCTAATAGTTTTATATGTAGCTTTGAAATAGAAAATTGATTATGCTCTTAACCAAATTGTAAAGAAAGGTGAATTCTCTATCTTCATTCAAGAGTAATTCATATTTATGAGAACTCGCCTGTTGTATAAAACTAAGTCCTTTATATATCTTTGAGACATATTTAAAATGTTCAATATATTGCTCCCATAAAATCTTTTCATTTATGACATTGCTCACTACTAGCTTCTCATTGACGCTATCCCATGCACATGCTTTCTAGAGGTTATAAGTGGAGATCCTATCCACCACTTGTATGAGTGGTGTATGAGTCTTTCTAATAATGACTCTGTCCACTACTAACTTCCCATCAAGCATAGGTGTGTCTTCTAAAAATTTTTATAAGATGCAATGTAATTTATATAAAAAAAAAATTCATTGATATTTAAAGATATACTTGAAAGATACATCTATATCTTCAATAATCAAGATAAAAATTCAAATGAGATGTGGAGCTCAATTTTTTTAAGTTGGACAAGTAATAAAATATTTTAATATATGAGAGCAAACAGGTTATGATAACACTCTACTTAATAACTCCAACAATTTTCTTGCCATGACTTTTTTAATTTCCGCTATTTTGAGACTGATAATTTATATGTTGTACTTCTAAATAATAACCAAGATATCCTCATTGAATTAGACGTTCAATCTATTCTTTAACCTAAAAGCCTTTTTTGTTGAATAACCTTTTGAATGATGGAAATGACAATATTAAGACTATCTCCATCATTTAAATTTTTTGATGGTTTTGGCCATTTGAAGTGTTTATAATTTTGAATATCCATCATAACGTTAGTCCTTAATGTGTTTAATGGGTTTGAGAACTCGGACTAAATTTAGTGAGAAAGGTGTATTTAATCTTTTGACTACTCATGCTTTTTTTAGTTGAAAATGTCGATTAATTTATTGACATGCTTTGAAAGAGAATATTTGTACATGTTTCTTAAAAGGTCTCTATCTCATTTTAGCGAATCTTAGACAGATAAGTCTGGTGATTTTCCAATAAATAATAAATTAGTTAACAAAAAGTCTTGCTAGATTAACAAAAATATGAATAATCTTACCCCAAAAAAGTAGAACCGTATACGAGTTTGTCATTTAAGAGTTACAGGAAATATCTAGCAGAGGATTGCATCAAAAGCATGTTGAATTGTATGATGGTTCTATAGTGGTCACTTTAATTATAGGGATTAAAAGTTCAATCATATGGATTAATTGCATACAACTTAACCCCACAGGAAAAGAAAGTTGACAAATTACATCAATCAATGATGAAGATTCATGAAAGCTATGAAGAGGGATAAATTGGTTCCTTTACCTCAAAAGGAATTCCTCCTCAAATAGATGCCCTAGTTCATCTCTTATAACATCATAAGGGGAGGCAATAAAACATGTTGATTTAAGTCTTCAATGAATGGTGGAGGATTAAGGGCTAACTAGACAATATAGGAAGGGTGGATTGAACTAGCATTGTCCGAGAGACCATTATAAGATTGCAATGGAGGGGGAGCTATAGCATGGAAGGTACTTAATCAGTGGCATCAAATGTATCAACTCTAAATTATTATTGATTTTATGGTGGGAGAACTCCATCATATCATAATGATGCTCTTTATTATACATCATCTTCTAAGAATAATAGAATTTGAACATAAAGTTCTTCCATTTTATACATATGATCCTCCAAAATGAGGCTTGGGCAACCTTCATTTATATTATATTGTCCTTGATTGAGAATTTGATTGATAGTCATTGAAAAATTATTTATACTATGTTGGGAATTCCCACAAATGACACCAAACTTTTACATACATAAATTTTTGTGATGTTAGAATTTTAATATCTTAACTTTGTATAAAATCTAGTATGCTTAAATAGAAGTTGTAAGAAATACCAAAATGTTTTGGTGAAAAATCATGAGGCATAGCCCAATTATAATAATTCACCATATAATTGTAGATGCAATGATCCACTCTTCCTTAGAATTGAAATGGATAGGAATAAAACATTGGAAATAATTATGTAATTCTCATTATAGAGATTATAGAAGCCAGTTGTCAAAAGGTCAAAGTGGAAGTACAATAACGAGTTCTGATGTTAATAATCATGCGACAATAATCAGATGATAGAATTCAAGTGATGGCAGCGGCGATTGTTGATGGTGATCTTCATAAAATATCATAGAGTTCTTAAGCACCTTCAACTCCCAAGCCCCATTCCCGGAGAAAATGAGGCCCTATTTATAGCATTTTGATAATTTGACAAGAATCTAAAATACTCCATCGAAAGATACTTATTGATCCCAATTGATCATAAATCAATTATTTAGTATTTGAGTGCCTTGATGTCCGAATTGAATGATCTCGGGCTTACTTGATTCGTCAAGTTGAGCTGCTCGATTGGACTATAAGCACACAACATTTAAATACCGTTTGGTTGTCCAATTAATATCTCAAAATTTTCAATTATATTTCAAGTGTTGATTTAAGCTCATTTGGAGTATGATTGAATCACTTATGGTGTCAATGGGTTCATCTCGTCAAGATGTTCAACTCAACTATAAATTTGCTAAAATTAAAAAAACGGATGATCCTGAATTTATTTATGAAAGATTAGAATTCGAATATTGCCTCGAGATTCCTATGAATCAAGTGAATTTTATCAAACATAAACAGAGATTTATACTTTGCCATATATTATCAATTAAAAATCATTAGTTTCACTAAGATTATTTGCTATCATTGCTTAAGTTGATGCTTGGCATCCTAATTCATGCAGGATTTAAGCAAGATTTATCCTAACTTTGCCGAAAAGAATTTCTGGAACTTTATATCCTGCTATTTTGATAAATCTCATGTTAGCTTCTTTAATAGTTAAATCAAGGATTTGCTCAATCCTCAATCCCATTATTCACAGAATTTAATGGATCAAAAAATGTTCCCATCTCATAAAATTTGAATCATATAACAAATAGCCAAAGAATTTTCACATTTTAATACACTCAAAATTTACTAAATATGAATTTACTGGATTGACTAAATCCTATTTGAGTTGAATCTTAAACATAGCCAGACAGTCCTTAAAAAGTTCAACTGGCCTCATAAAACATTAAAAAAAAAAAAACAGAGGAGAGATGTTCCTCTGAGGCTTTGACAGAACTCAAACGAAAAATGTAAAACTCCATAATACTTGGAAAAACGGACACAATTAAAATCTGAAGCATACATTAGAAAAACAAATAACAGCAATCCGTCCATTAGCCGAAAGGAAAAGAGCAGTATACGGTATTCAACGATGCCATGCCGTCGCATAAATCAAATTGGAAAAAGAAAGCAAATTTTGGCAGGCAATTTGATTTACACTGTTGTGGGAGCTGAGATTTGGACAGGGTGACGGTATGATCCCTAAACGTTTCCATATAGTATCCTCCTTCAGGGTGAGGTTTCAGATCCAGCGTGGCCGCAATCTCTGAGGCTTTTCTGTATGAAGCCATTTCCAGCTGCCGGCTAGAGAACACGAGAGAGAGAGAGAGAGAGAGGGAACGTCTTCAAAATCCAATACTTTGGATGGAAATTGGACGCATTGACTTCAAATATCGAATTTGGTATGCCAAACACCAAAGGGTTGGAAAAATAAATATTTCTATGTAAAAGGTTTTGGATTTCCCTGCAGCTAGGGCAGTCATAAAATGTCGAGGCTCAACCCGAAGACTTTGAATTAACGACAACAGATATTCGCATGGTTGATTAAAATTTTTCTTAGAACGTTGCACTTATGACGCAAATTTTATTTTTTCTGCTCATTTTAGTTAGTTGAATTTTATCTTAAATATTTTAAAAAAGAAAAATGAGTCATAACATAACTCAGTAAGTAATTCATGTTTCTAAAATTATAATAACACAATACCATTGAAACAATATGAGTGTTCATTTCTAAGAATAAAATGATTTCATCTAAATTCATTTCATATATAACCATCAATATTATCCATGTTATATATATAATTTGTTTATATGTTTATCAATATTTTTATTTTTTCTCATAACATTAGTCACTGTCTAAAATAGTATCAATGAAGGTATATCTTTTCCATTTACTTTTTATTTTATATTTACATGCACAGGTTGTGTCACCAGCCAATATCATATGGTGGTGTGCTCCATCAATCAATATTCACATACAAGCATTTCTATCTAGCTATTTCATTCTTGTTATAATCTTAATTTTATACAATAATGTAAAGCATAATATGCTATTCATGCTCAATCATTTGATATGTGAGAGTTAAATCATTTGCAATGTAATTTGAAGAAGCAATAAAATAAATCATTTAGAATGACAATTAAATACAATTTGAAGCAATGTAATTATCATAATATAGGAATATGAATATTCACATTGAACATAGGTATTAATATACTTCACTCTTTCTCCCTTACTCCCACATTGATAGATTTAGCTCCTATATGAAAAATTTATTTGTTAAAATTTAAGTTATAAATTACTCATATATTTTTAATTAGATGCTCTAAAATTGAAGTTATAATTCTCGTTTTAACTAATTGAATATAATCTTAATTTAATTAAATGAAATATCTCCTTTTCTCTCTCTTTCTAGTTTTATTTATTAATTAATTATATCCAATTAGTGCTTGTATTTTGATTTAACAATTAAATTTATTCTTGTTATTTAAATTTGGATAAAATTATAATTAAATTATCTCTTTTAGATGAAAAAAATAAATTATTATTATTATTTCTATATTTGATAAAATATCCCACTTCATATACAATTTATTTTAATTTATTATCAAATCCTCAATGAGAAAAGTGAAGAGTTGTGTTAGGTAGTCGACAGCCAGCGTAAACTTATGGAATAATTATGACATGAATCTCGAAGGCATATTCAAGCTGTAAACTTCCAAAATTAAATGCGGAACCATCCAAACTCCAATTTCAACAAACTTATAATCAAATTGAATGACTCAATGAGATGAATCCAATGACACCAAAATTGGTTCAATTCAAGACCAAATGAACCCAAATCAAGGGGCCGAATATATTTTAAAGCTTCAAAGCACTATATATTAGATGATTCAAGAATCATTCATTCCTTACATTCGAAAAAGAAAAGAACTATTTGAGAATAAAATATTTAGTTTCTTGATGAGCCTCTCGATTCAACTACAAGCATGTTGAATTTAGAGATCATTGAGACATCCAATTAATGTTCAAAGTTTCTAATTATGATTCAAGTGCTTGATTTAGGCTCATTTAGGCTTAAATAAGACAACTTTTTGTATTGTTGGGTTCATCTTATGACACATTTAGTTTGACTCTAAGTTTAAGAAATTGTAGTTCATATGGTCCTGAATTTAAATAAAAAATTGTCAATTTAAATTTTGTCTCGAGATATGTGCCAATCATACAAGTTTTTATGGATATATTAATAATAATAAATCTGTGAAAATTACATTTTTTGCTAACTAAATTATAATTAGTTGTGATTAATATCCTGATAAATCATTAATTAATATTTCATAAAACTAAGGCCTCATTTGTTTTGATGTTTTTTCTTCTTTTATGTTTAGAAGCGATGATTTTTTTTCGCTATTTAGATGAGACGCTTCTATAGAAATGTTTTTTAGGAAACTTCATTTTTCTACTGTTTTGATAAGCTTTTTGATATTTTCTTCTTCGTTAGAAAACTCCATTCCTTTAACTATTGTCTCTAAAACTATCTTTTACAAAAAAAGAGGAAGAATAAAAGAAGTCTACGTAAATATAATAAACTCTATTTAGTCAAATTAAATCATAAATAATATTAATTTGTTTAAATTTAAATTAAATAATATTAATTATTATAATTAATTTTTTAATTAATATTTCTTATTTAATTAATTTCAAATCTCTTTCCCCAAGTTCTAGAAATTCTCGACCATAACAAAGAAGTAAGAAAGTTGGGATAGGTGGCTGCTTCAGAAGTCATTGATGAGGACAACAATCAGTGAAAAAAAGATGATCGTAAAACTCGTGAATTTAAGTTAAATCCGACAAATGTTGGACTTTACTTAATCCAAAATTTAATGCAAAATGAAGGAGAAATAAGATTAATATCCCGCAAGATTTAAAGTTTTTGTTTTAATTGTGACAATATTTAGATTAAAATTTTATTTGGGATAATTTGTGTCACTATTTTTTATTATTTTAAAAAAAATTTATATAAAAAAGTTAATTTAAAAAACAATAAAAAAAAGAAGCCAAATATCCCACGAACTGTTTCGCCCGTTTATTCTGTAGTAGCTTCACTACGTAATCTCTATCTCATGCCGTTAATGGCACTCGCTGGAACGCCTCAGATCCCTGTAGCCGCTCCCTCGCCCTCCTCCATCATCCTTTCACGACGCCGGCTGCTGCCGCTCTACACTGCCCCCGTCTCCGCCTCTAATTCTGCAGAACTCCAGTCAAAGCCAGTCAAGTTCACTTACCACAGAGCTGATCCTTCCGTAAGATGGCCAAATTTGAAGATCGACGAACATTTCTTCAGCCGCCAACCCCATTTTCCCTCCCCTTCTCCCTCTACCCCAGACACGCATTCCCCTATTTCTAGAAAAGACTCCAAGCATGAACCCGAAGACCTAAACAATCCAGAAGCTGTGGAATGCTTAGAATCCCTCGACAGCAGGCAACGGCGGGCCCATGGAAATAAGATGAGCAAGCTCGCCCTAAAGCGAGCCAAAGACTGGAGACGGCGAGCGCAGCTGCTCGCCGATCAAATCCTTGCCCTTCCTTCGTCTGGTCATGTCGCCGACGTCCTAGACAACCGCGCCGTGCAAATGACTCCCACCGATCTCTGCTTCGTGATCAAGTTGGTGGGCACCTCCAGCTGGACCCGTGCCCTGGAGGCTTTCGAATGGCTCAATCTCCGCCGGCGATACTCTCCCTTCCCTCGCATGCTTGCGTCCATCATCTCCATTCTCGGACGGCATCGTCAGGACTCCCTCGCAGAAGAAATATTTCGTCGTTCTTGTGTTATCGGGGATGCTGCTGTGGATCCGTCTGTGCAGGTCTTCAATGCTATGATGGGTGTTTATGCTCGAAGTGGGCGCTTTGATGATGTCAGGAACCTGCTTGATGAAATGCGCAAGAGAGGTCTCGAGCCTGATCTTGTCAGTTTTAACACTCTTATCAATGTTCGGACTAAGTCCGGACAAGTGCCTTCAGGTTTAGCACTAGAGCTGCTACAGGATGTCCGGCGCTCAGGGCTGAGGCCAGACACAATCACTTACAATACTCTCATCAGCGCTTGCTCTCAAGCACCTAATTTTGAGGAGGCCAGGAGTGTCTTTGAGGACATGATGAAATCTAAGTGCCAGCCTGATCTCTGGACTTACAATGCCATGATCTCAGTCTATGGCCGCTGTGGGATGACACAAGAGGCTGAGCAGCTATTCCATGAAATAACCTCGACGGGCTTCTCTCCAGATGCCGTTACCTATAATTCCCTCCTTTATGCATTTGCAAAGGAGGGGAGTACAGAGAAGGTGGAAAGAATATGTGAGAAGATGGTCAAAGCTGGGTACAACAAAGATGAAATCACATATAACACATTCATTCACATGTATGGTAAACAAGGCAGGCTGGATTTGGCTTTACGGTTGTATAATGAAATGAAACTGGCTGGTTGTAGTCCTGATGCAGTGACATATACTGTATTGATTGATTCACTTGGAAAGGCTGATAGGATTGTAGAGGCAGGCAAGGTGATGTCAGAGATGGTTGATGCAAGTGTGAGGCCTACTTTGAGGACTTTCAGTGCCTTGATTTGTGGATATGCCAAAGCTGGGATGAGGGTGGAGGCGGAGAGAACATTTGATCATATGGTGAGGTCAGGGATTAAGCCCGATTGTCTAGCCTATTCTGTTATGTTAGATATTTTGTTAAGAGCCTGCGAGACCCGGAGAGCAATGGCTATATATCGGGAAATGAGGCAAGATGGCTTCAGACCTGATGATAGTTTATACCAGGTTATTCTTGGGGTCTTTGCGAAGGGAAATAAGAATGAACTCATTGATGAGATTGTCAATGACATGGTAACTTTTGGGATGAGTTTGGGTGAAGTTTCCTCTCTTCTTGTCAAGGGCGAATGCCTAATTAAAGGGGTGGAATTGTTAAAACGGGCTGTTATTCAAGGTTTCAAACCCAATCATGAATGCTTGTCAGCTATTTTTAATGGCTATACATCATTAGGTAGACATCAAGAAGCACAAGCTTTGCTTGATTTCTTGAAAGAACAGGTACCTGAATCCCATTGTTTGATGAGTGAAGCTTCAATAATACTGCAGTGTAACAATCGCCAAGTGGAAGCTGCATTAGAGGAGTACAAGAAAATGAAGACTGGCATGGTTTTCTTAAGTAAAGATTTTAGCCTTTATGAAGCACTGGTCACCTGTTGTGAGCAAACTGAATATTTTTCAGAAGCTTCTCAAGTATTCTCAGATATGAAATTTATTGGCCTTGAACCTACCGAGAGCATTTACAGGAGTTTGATCAAAGTTTACTGTAAAATGGGTTTTCCAGAAACAGCTCATCAATTGCTGGATAAGGCGAAATTGTCTGGTATAGTTTTCAATGATCTATCGATTCATGTCAGCTTGATAGAGACATATGGGAAGTTAAAGCTATGGCAAAGGGCTGAGAGCTTGGTAGGGAAGCTCAGGCTTTGCTCTCCTGTTGATAGGAAAGTCTGGAATGCTCTCATATATGCATATGCTGAGAGTGGTCGCTATGAACAAGCAAGATCAATCTTCAATATGATGATGAAAAATGGTCCTGGACCTTCCGTGGAATCTGTGAATGGTCTCATGCAGGCCTTAATAGTTGATGGAAGATTAGATGAGCTCTATGTTTTAATTCAAGAATTGCAAGATATGGATTTTAAGATAAGCAAAAGCACCATAGTCATAATGCTTGATGCATTTGCAAGAGATGGTAATATATTTGAGGTAAAAAAGATATACCATGGCATGAAGGCAGCAGGTTATTTGCCAACCATGCATCTTTATAGGAGTATCATTGAATTGTTTTGTCGTGCAAAACGAGTAAGAGATGTTGAGTTGATGGTAGCTGAGATGGCAGTGGCTGGTTTAAAACCAGACATAATTATCTTCAATGCTCTGCTCAAGATGTACTCAGGAATTGAAGATTTTAAGAAAACCATGGAGATTTATCATAGAATTATAGAGGGTGGGCTGAGCTTGAATGAGGATACCTTCAATACACTTATAATAATGTATAGTAGAGATATGAAACCCGAGCAAGGTTTTACTATCCTAAATGAAATGAGAAAAAATGATCTAGAACCCAAATTGGATACCTATAAGAGTTTGTTGGCTTCATGTGGGAAGGTGCAGCTATGGGAACAAGCTGAAGAGCTTTTTCAAAGCTTGCTTTCCAAGGGATTTAGATTGGATCGATCTTTCTATCACATTATGATGAAGATATATAGGGATTCTGGCGACCACTCCAAAGCAGAAAACTTGCTCACTGTGATGTCGGAGGCTGGTGTAAAGCCAACAATTTTCACCATGCACATGCTTATGGTTTCTTATGGAACGGCTGGGAAGCCTCATGATGCAGAAAAAGTGCTTACCAATATAAAAAGCTCAAATTTAGAACTTAGTACATTACCTTACAGTTCTTTGATCGATGCTTACTTCAAGAATGGTGATTATAACCAGGGAATTGCTAAATTATTGGAAATGAAAAGTGATGGAATTGAAGCAGACCAAAGAATATGGACATGCTTTATCAGGGCTGCTAGTTTCTGCCAGGAGACAACTGAAGCAATGGTTCTCCTTGATACGCTACGTGACAATGGTTTTGATCTTCCCGTCAGGTGCAACAAAATTCAACCGTTATGAAAAAGACCATTTCCCTCCTTCCTCCTATCACTAGCAACATAATTACGTGAGGAATAGATGAATTATTTCCCTTTTGTTTTACAGACTTCTAACTGAGAACACGGAGGTGCTGGTTGCAGAGGTAGAGAAATTGCTGGAGGAGCTAGTGCCCGAGGAAGATGATGCTTGTTTTAATTTTGTGAATGCTCTGGAAGATTTGCTGTGGGCCTTTGAACGTAGATCCACTGCTTCATGGCTTTTTCAAATCGCAATAAAAAAAGGCATATACCGTCATGACGTGTTTCGGTATGAATGCATAACCTGTGCTGCTAATTTTGCAAAAGAATGCATAACTTGCACTAATTTAGGTTATTCTATTTAAATTCTGATACGCCCTAGGGTTTCACCAATTCGATTTTACCCTAATTTCTCTCAAATGAGCATGAGAGGAACAAAACAAGATCAAAAGCAAAGATTTTCCAAGGTAAAATCGGCCCGTCCCGCTCCGCTGCGCCATCCTGCGTCCCTGCTTCGGCGGGTCGAACGGCGCGGCGCTTCCGCGCGCCGCGGGGTCGCCGGCCCTCCCTCTGCCGGTCGGCGTCGGCGGTGGTCGGCGGTGGCCCGCATCAAATTCATCTCATACTTGATACACGTCTGAACTTTTTATATCCCGGGTTGTTTAGTCGTCAATCTTTTATTCTTTTATTATACGGTGATTAGTAGGGGTGTAAACGAGTCGTGTCAAGTCGAGTTTTGACACTATCGAACTCAACTCGTCAGTCGGAAAGCGAGCTCGAACTCAAGCTCGAGCTCGACTCGCGACAATGTACAAGCTCATCGAGCCACTCGATTTCCCGCCTGCGTCGGTTTCACGCCCGCCTATTTTAGTTTTCCCGCCTAGTTTTCGCACAGCTGTTGTGCTTTGCAATATCATGTTTATTGAAAATTTCATTCTTTAATAAGTAAAGCTTTGGAAAGAAAGCCTAGCGGAAACATTTATTAGAAAATTTCATTGTTTAATAATAAGTGAACTTGCAGCATTTATTAGCATTGATATTGAGTCTTTTTTTATTAACTACGTGGCTGTTGAAGATTTGAATGTAATTTTTTTAAAACTTTTAAAAGTAATAAAAAAAAAATTTAAATAGTAATTCGAGCTAGCTCGCGAGCTCACGAGCCGAGCCTCATCGAGCTCGAACTTGAGCTCGTTTACTAAACGAGCTCAAGCTCGACTCTTGAGATCGATATGCTCAGCTCGTGAGCCAATATAACGAGTCTAGCTCGAACCGGCTGGCTCACTTACACCCCTAATGATTAGCATCTAAGCTTTGAAATCTTCGCACTGTTTTTTATGGAGTGATCTGTGTTGTATTCAAAAGAAAATTATTTCCGGATCTTCATATTCTAATTTGTGTATATATGGATATAGGTTATGCTGACTCGGAGATTCACATGGCAATTTTATTTGTGTTAAATAAAAGATGTTTGCCAAAGAGAAACTGACTAAGATTTCATTGATTCTGCAACTTGTGATACATCATGCAGGGTTGCAGATGGTGACTGGGGAGCTGATTTCAGAAAACTTTCAGGCGGTGCAGCGCTTGTTGCTCTTACACTATGGCTTGACTATATGCAAGTAAGCATAGTTGTAAAATTCTTTTATATATTTTATTTCAGTACCCAAAGCGCTCTTGATGTAGGATTTCACTCACCCTGCTTCGTTTACAGAAAGTATACGGGTTCTTTTCTATGGAACTTCCATCTTTTTCAAATGATTTGTTCTTACAACTTCGTTTTTTTATTGTGCTGCTTTTTCAATTTATTGTAGTTCTACTTTGGCAACTTTTTGTGTACAAGGATTTGATAGGAAATACTTGAGTTCGCCAGTAACTCTAAGGGAAATACTTGAATTCGCAAGCAAACCTATCACTAATTGGTGAAAACAGCGAGAATAATGCAAAATCAGGGTGAAATCAGCCCAAAAATGATGGATTGCAATAAGAGAAACTAAGCCAGACAAACACAAGAACAAGATACAAATGATCCTCAATTCGAGAGGAGGATCGTTCTCTCCCAAATCTCTAGATAAAACAATCTAGAGCTAAAAAACCCAAGAACTCCAAGAGAAAACTCAAATCATGCATAAACCTACCCCTAAAACAAATCCTCCTATTAATACAATTAATTTCCTAATTCAAACCTCCCTCATTCAAAATTTCCCTCTCACCCTAGCCGCCCAAATCCCCCTTCCTCAATTTCTCCAAGTGAGGCCCACACATGTGGGCGGCAGATCAAAGGGGGCGGACCCCTTTCCGCCGCTTGCAGCGGCCGGCTCCTGGGCCGATTCATGATGAACCGGCCTATCAGAATTCTAACGAACAAATTTTTTCTTATAATTTTTTTTTTCTTGCCTGCAACAGGATGCTTCATTACAGGGATCTCCTGAGTCGCCAAAGTCAGTTGTGTTGATAACAGGGACTGCAGAGTACAACTTGGTTTCCTTAGAGAAAACACTGAAGGCATATCTCTGGGAAATGGGCTCACCGTTCCTTCCATGCAAAACTCGAACTGGTGTCCTCGTAGCAAAAGCTCACTCCCTTAGGATGTGGCTGAAGGATTCTTCCTTTTGTATGGACCTTGAGTTGAAAGATGCGCCCAATCTTCCCAGTTCAAACTCAATGTCTCTCACAGAGGGATATTTCATGAGGAAAGGTTTAGTTCCAGCTTTTAAAGATATAAATGAGAGACTTGGAAGGGTGAATCCTAAAAAATTTGCGAGGCTGGCTTTATTGTCAGAAGAAAGCAGAAACAAGGTTATCGTGGCTGATATAAAGGGCAGGAAGGAGAAGCTGGAAAAGTTGAAGAAGAAAGGGAATGTAATAGCAAGGAAGGCAACACGATTACGCACAGGAAAATTTATGAGACGGCGACATAATGCACTGGCAGTTCAACGTTAGTTAAGAGAAGACTGTGCATGAGCTATGACAGGTTTCATCGCCATTGTCGTCAAGGATATGGTGTCATCTTCCTTCCCCTGCTAAGTACTTTTTGGCTGATTTGTCAAACTGATTGAAGATAGGTTTGACTTGCAATTGATGATGGAGCCATTGCAAATCATAGAATTCGAGCTTACTGAGCTCTGCAAAAGTTAGCATTTCATTAATTATAGCATTTCACAAAGCTGATCTGTTGCAGTCAAACGGTGGAAAAGAAAGATTCAGCTATGATACTGGAATTAAAGAAGCATAAGTAAAAGAGGATAACTGCGTAAACACAAATAATAATAATGATATTATTATTATTTTGGAACAAGATATCCACCCGGTGCCAGGCCTGAAAGGATGCTTGGTTGCGTGACTAATTCTAGGCTGACCTAGAAGAGGCACCCATCTTAGAAATCTCATGATCTGTACATTGGGCCCCACTTAAGAGGCACTGTCGCTCGAGGGGAATCTAGTACAGGTTGGGAGTTCCCAACTGCACTTGCCTGCCAATCAAGCTAAGCAATGGTGGGTAAAACACAAATATTTTGATAGTACTTGTCCTGCTTGACTGTTTTCAACACATTGGAAGAGGGCAAGCATGTCATACAACATTGTAAATTCTTGTTCATTTTTTAACATTAAATTGAAAGGATGCATAATTTGTATGAATTCTAATCAATGGATTTGTGACATTCCGTTGGAATTGAGCTGCTAATAAAAAAACTTATTTGCACATCTTTTGAAAGAAATAATAATAATAATGATAATAACAAATGACCAAATGACTCTTCAGATTCTAATATTGAAACCAAAATGTAATAGGACATTGCTGGCCTTATGGAATATATTGGCATTTTTAGGTCAATTAAGTGAAATTCATATAAGTATTACACACGCAAGCTTCTAATCCGAGACTTTTTGGTTAAAGTCAAAGCTCTCAATCAATAAATTAAAATGAGCTGAATCTTACATGAGATTTAAAAAGCTGTCAGAAATGGCAAGTTCACTTCAAAAATAAATTAAAATTAAATCAGATATAATTATAATATACAAGGCAAATAAAATAAATAAAAAATAAAAAAAAATTTAAAAAGGCATATCTTGAATAATCTAATAGAAATTTAAGGAGCAGTCTTAAGTTTCTAATTATACAATGAATTTATATTTTTAATATTGATTAATAAAAAGTAATCGAATAAGCTTTTCAAGTGACAGAATAATTCAAATATAAACCCATGAGATCCAGGAGCATTAGATTTTGAATAAAAAAATCAACTCTTTCTTTCTGGCACAAATAAAAAATAATTGACTTACGATGGGTTTATATTTGATTAAGTTTTTTATTACATCCAGTGAACGTACGCTCCTCTACGTTCGGTTTTAGACCAAAAAAGTGTAATACCGAGTACCGAGTACCGAGTTGTACCGAGTTTTTTCAAAAAACTCGGTATTGCGCTGTTTTGATCTAAAACCGAACGTAGAGGAGCGTACGTTCACCGGATAAAATAAAAGTTCGCTTTGATGTGAGGCAATTCTTTATCAGCAATAAGCTTCCAAAAATTGCCAAAGCAATTGAAATAGCCCTCATCCCCAAAACTAGCATGGGAGTAACATATCTGAATTTTGACATATATTAATTTGCAACAAATTCTAAAAAATTATTCCAAAAATTATTGTCTCCAAGATGAAACTAATTATGTCCCACATTATTCATTATAATCAAGCACATTTACTTTAAAAAATGATTTCTACAGACCATATTATTCTTACAAATAAATTTTGGGAGAATTCAAAAAGCCTTCTAAGGATCACCGATTCAGTGCTAAGATTGACATTTATAAGATTTTAGATACTGTGTTAACAGGTTTTTTATTTTTCAGAATGAAACCAAATGGTTTTCCCCCATCCTGATAAATTGGATCCATATTTGTATTGAATATGTTCATGAATATGTGTATCAATGACACTATAAATGGGTTTTTTTAATTCTTCTGGTCTGAGAAACGGATTCCCTCTATCATTATATATTTTTAACATTGTGGCTGACCTCTCTAACCTTTTTGGAAAATTTATTTTGAATTATTTTTTACAGTGAGATATTTTTGGAAAACAAACATTTCTATCATCTGTATGCGAACAATCTTTTGGCATTTGGTAAGTGTTTCAATAAGAATATTAATGTTCTCAAATGCATTCTAAAGCATTTTGGAAAATTGACATAAATGCATAGCAATCATTCTAAAAGCACCATCTTCTACTCCTCCAAAGTTCAATATGGTCAACATAATAATTGCTAACAACTCTATCACACATTTGAGCATTTCTATTTCACCTAACAAGCTTGGCATTGTTGCCTCTTCCAACCCCTTCTTCATAAAATCAACATCTCATTGATGGTTGGAACGAAAAATCCTCTATTTTGTTAGTCAATTATGGTTTGATAGATTTAGCATTTAAAGTTTCATTATATGCTGGATCAAAGGCTCTATAATACTTATAAGTCTAATTGAAAGTCTCTTAATGGACTTTGTGCAAGATTCATATACCATCAAAATATTAATACTAGGAAGTTATGTCATGTCTCATGAGTAAAACTTGAAGGCCACAAGTATTAGGTGGCTTAGACATTTGACACACAGGACACCGCCGTAGCAATTATTTAGCTTATACAAATGTAAGGTTTCGTGCTTAGGTTTGTACACACTACTACTCAATTTTCTAATGGAACTTAAAATTTTCTACACTGTAATTTCTATTATAACTCAAGTACATGTGTCATATGAAGTAATATAATGATGAAAAGAGTGTTGATCCCATGAGGAACACACTAGAAATATCCTACGCTCATTTTATTACTGCATGCTAAATTATTAAATTTATCTAGTTGAATTATTTAACAGGTTGTACAATTTAAATGTAAAGAGCTTCAAATTATAAAAATAAAATTACTAATTTTAGAAATTATGAATATATGATCTTCCATAGGAACATGATTGCTTTAGAGATATTTTACTACTTAATATTGCTATAAATCAGAGCAATAGTGTCACGACCCAACCCGATCGGGACGGATCCCGCTCGCATCGGGTCGTGGTGCCTGAACTGAAACTGACCGAATTAATTCCAGGATCTGGCTTTGGAATTTGTTTCAAAACTTTCTTCCAAACATTACATACAGAAACAGACACACACAGAGCTACTATAAACATCAAATGCAGCGGAACAGATCATCCATCTTTCGTCAAAAGAATCATATACAAATACAGCTCATGGCTTTCAGACAGAAAGAAAAGCAGAACAGAAAAGCCATGACTGTACAAAATCAAAAGTACAAAATACCTATACGGGATCAGACTCTGAACTTATATTCCTGGACTTCCTCCCCTTCCCAGAACCTGAAAACCATGCAGAAAACAAGGATGAGCTACAATAGCTCAGCAAGACAACAAACCTCCAATCAAAATCCTCAGAGTCCACATCAAACAACAGACAGAAATCCGAACAGAAATCAGAATACGGAACTGATAGGGCAGAACAGAATGAATCAAATCAGAACATAAATCATACAGATCGGATCAAATCAGAACAGAACAGAAATACATTACATCAGAGCTGAAAGAACGTGCAGAAATCAGAAATCAGATTAAATCATATTCAATTAGAAGTCATAAGTCATATCAGAACAGACAGAATCGTATGGAAATCAGAAATCATATCAATTCAGAATATATCAAAAGTCAGAATAAATTCCCTGACACTGACAGAATCTCAACGGATTCTGTCCCCTTGTGCCTCCCTTCCCAGACACTGACAGAATCTCTCGGATTCTGGCCCCTTATGCCTCCCTTTGTGCTCACGGCACAAGAACAGATGTGCTTATAACACCAGAACAGAACTTATCATCAGATCCAGAACTTGTATTCAGAAACTGATTTCAGAGCTCATTTCAGATTTTCCCTGACACAGACAGGATCTCACAGGATCCTGACCCCTTATAACTCCCTTTTCATAGCACACAAGCATA